CTGTAGTATGAACTCGCCTGCCTAACTAACTTCCCTCAGCCCTCCCCCTCGCCATGCGCACCCGCAAATCGTGCCCATTAGTTCATGCCAAGTCCGACAAACGTACGCTTTCGATTATTCATTATTAGGCCTGTGCAGTAATATAAGGGAGGTTGTATGGCAAAAATCAAACAGCCAATAAAAAGTAAGTATGGGGGAGAGAACTGAGGGCGTTCAGAGGTCGTAATCTATTTCTGTCAGTGGTTTAGTGAGGGGGAGGGGAAGGGAGGCGTCTGACTACTAGTCGCTGTGCGACTGCCTGCGGGGTTCTAGTATGAGCCCCAAGGCACAACGGGACGAGCATGTTCCGTAACCTGATCGGTGAGCGCCCACTATCATAATTAATATTCCCGATCACAACCGACAGGACAACGGGCCCGTGGCTCAATGGCAGAGCGTCAAACTCCATGTCCAAAGATCCCGGGTTGGAATCTCAAGTGATCCACACTTGGGGTTGGGTATGACTGGCTGATGACGGCTAATAAACCAGAAATGGCATTCTGGTCACCCTTGTCCTTGTCGGTAACACCTTATCTGCAAATCTCACTAGTCGCTGTGCGACTACCTGGGGGGGGGGGTTCTTGTATGAGCCCCAAGGCACAACGGAACGAGCATGTTCCGTAACCTGGTCGGTGAGCGCCCACTGTCATAAGTAGCTTTATCTCTTTTTAGTCACTGTAATGCGACGTTGCAAGAGGTGTGAACACACACACACACCCTGGGTCCGTTTTTGCCCAAGGGAGCCTTAGCGCTTACATAAACGCTTTATGCAAACACGAGGTTTGGTTGACTAACCGTATGAACACCGCCTCTGCCGTCACAAGTATCCGCTGACGCAGGCCGTTCATAGATGACTCGGAATGCCAGGTTGACGTCTACACGGTGGCCGCTGTCATTAGCGCTAGCGGTGAACTTTTTCACATCTCGATTTATCCGGGCAGGATGATGTTTTCGCATTCGCTTGGATAGAAGCCTAGGTTTTTGACCAGCATAACCTGCCTCCAGGAGCAAATCAAGGCGCAGATGTACATTAAACCAGCCTAAAATGGCAGTCTATCTTTACCGTCAAGGCGAAGAAATGGAGTGTCAGGAAAAACTAGTCTTAGCGGATGGGGACGCGCGCGATAGCAGCGTTTAAGCGAAGATGTCGAAGTTCATTCGCCGGATCCGCTTGAAACGGAAGTGTGGGAAATAACTCCTTCTTCTCAGTCATCAACACCTCAGATTTTGAAGGACGTTCTTTCATATATTCGTTGATACAATTTTCGGAATAGCCGCGCGCTCTCTCTCTCTCTCTGACTGTTTTGCATAATGGTGAGGTCATTTCGAAGCGTACATGGAGTGCATATTTTCCTAGTGCGCTTGGTGAGGCAACGGACTAAGCCTCGTTCCTGATTTATCGGGACAAAATGAGATGTTTGCGTACTAACCCGTTCATGCTTACTGGTGAAGTACACTTCTATGAATTACCCCAGACTCTCCGTGTTTTGTATAATCGCGAGTATTTTGTCAAGCGTATCTGGAGTGCATATTCTGCTAGCTCGTTCAGTGAGGCAGCGGCGAAAGCTTCATTTGTGGCTTAGCGAGACAAAACTGTAGAAATGTGTGTACTGCCTCGTCCAGGTTTTCTTGCGGAATACACTTCTATCAATAATTCCAGCCGGCATTCGATTAACTAGGATGCCCAGAGAGGGGAGGAACTCTCCGTTCTCTATTTCCAAGGTGAAGGTTAGGGCTGGGTCAGCTATTTATTTGCTATTTCAAAGATGCCATCAATATCGAATGCAGGAATAAACGTCATATGTAAATGGACGGAGCTGGCTTTTCTCATGTTTTTCCATTAAGACATCAAGTAATAGAGGTCAAAGGAGTGAGCCCATCGCTACGCCGTCGATCTGGCGTCAAAATTGGCCATCGACTCTGAATCAGGCCGTTAATATGCAACGAAGAGGCAATTCATTTAGGTCTCCGAACGCCATTCCGATTGAGAAATCCCGTAAACAATCTCGTTACATAGCAATACTATCACTGGGTTAGGTTTTACTGACTAATGACGCCTAATTAGCCAGAAATCGATCGCTTCTTCTTCTTCTGATAAAGCCAGAAATGACCATTCCAGTCTTTCTTGTCTTTGTCGGTAATGCCATTCTGCCTATATCATGCACCGCTGTGCAGCTGCTGGTTGAGCTCGAGAGAGAGAGTTCATAAGGCACAACGGAACGAGTGAGTTCCGTAAGCTGAGCGCCCCTTTACCAATACAATCATTTCCGTGAGAGGAATGCTAGTGAACAAAGGGGCAATATCTATGAATAGCATTGACTTTCAATTGAGATTATTATGTTTTACGAAATCGATGAATTCAAATCTGTGCCTGATAATTAATAATTGAAACCGTTCGTTTTGCCGGGCTTAACTTCTTAAATGTTTAAATCGTTGTCAGGGCTGAACTTTAACCGTCTGTCTTATAAATACGCAGTGAATTAATGCATTTGAAAAAGAGTTTACAAAATTTTATGACGCTATTAAGTTCTGCATGTTTCGTCGGCCTTGCAATGTTCGAATTTATTTCAGGAAAAGGAGGCAACAGTCTAAGGTCTTAGTCATCATAAATCTTCGCGATATGTGGCCTCATGAAAACCTTTAAACGTGCGGGGTCCCAGGGAAAGGTAACCTTACAACGTTCACTCTGGCTTTTCCATGGGGCAATTATCTAAAAATTACTTTAGTAAAGCTTTGTTTAAGAGAATGTTTATCAAGGGACTCTTATAAAGCGTATATTGACGGCAGACGATGCTTATGAATGTCGTCCCCCTCAGCGACTATTTCTCAGATTGAGTGTACATACTAAGCTAGCACGAACGGCTGTCTGCAGGAAAAGATGGGAATTCACTGTACGGGCAGCGGTTTTTACTATTCCTATTTTTGGGAAAATTTCTTATTAACACAAACTACAGAACCTAACTTTTCCCGGCATTTTAATTGGAGAAACGCAAGCAGCAAACTTCTTGCTGGTGTGTAATTTTGACCTGAAATTCCACCGTTTTTTAGTCATCAAAAAGCACATGCTATAACAATGCAAAATGAATTTTCTGATACGCAGGAAAATGTCACGATGGCAATTTCTTAGGCATTAAACTGCCCCTCGGCATGCGGCCTTATGAAAGCCTGCGGTAGTCGCGCCAGCCCCCGTGACCGGCACGTTGGCCATCCTGACTGTTCATCCCTGAACATTCGTCGTTATCAGAGGACTCTTATAAAGCGTATATTGACGGCAGACGATGCTTATGAATGTCATTTCCCTCAGCAATTATTTCTCAGATTGAGTGTACTGATTAAGCTAACACAAACGGCTGTCTACAGGAAAAGATATGTGAATTCACTATACGAACAGCGGTTTTCAGCATTTCTATTTTTGAGAAAGTTATTTATTATCACAGACTACAGAACCTAACTTTTCCCGGCACTTAAATAAGAGGAACACAAGGTGCAGTCTGCTTGCTCGTATGTCAAGGTTGACCTTGAATTCCACCGGTTATTACTCATCAGAAAGCACATGCTATATTAATGCAAACTGATTTTTTCTGATACGCAGGAAAGGTCACGATGACAGTTAGCTCTGCTGTTTATATTCTAATTTCCTCGGCAGGTGGCCTTAGGACAACCTGCGACAGTCGCACCAGTTCCCATGACCGCCACGTTGGCCAGCCTGACTACTCACCCCTGAACTTTCGTCGTTAGCGGAGTTATGACCAAGACTCAGTCCATGAGACAACTAACTGCGCGATCGATAATCAGTTGATCACTTGTCCATACTGGCGAGTACTCATCAGATGCGTGTGAAAACCACACGCGCTCTCGATAGGATGACTTATTCGGACCCACAAGCAGACTGCCAAATCACGGCAACCTGCCCTGTGTACAGACAAAATAGACTCTCATTGCTCTTAGACCCCCTGTCATCAGATGGGCATGCGGCTTCCGTTGACTTAATATCGATCTGGCCCTCACCAACCTTTGAACATGCGCGTTTCCTAAACATAAACCCGGACAAAATCCTTTTTCTTGATAGTCAGCCTTATTTAGAACCATGCAAAAACAAAAAATACATAAAGTTTATTTGTCATGTCAGCCATACTGCATTAGGTTATGGCGAATACTAATCCGCTGATTTTCTGAACGCACATTGTTTGCCTTTGTGGCGTAAGTCCGGCCTTTTGACGTCCCCGTTTTTTGAAAAGTACAGCACGTTTGACGTTTCTATTTTAACTGAAGACTGCTCATTTTGTACATCGGGGTTCGCCGAATGATTTAGGGCAGCTCTGAACTCACAAAGAATTTCGTGCCTACTCACCTATTTCAAAGTCGCATTTTTGGGTGGAAATTCGACGAACTAGACAGCGCTTGCTTGTGCAATTTTTTAATATCTCCCGTACCGGAGGATTCAGATAGACAGACACCTGTCGTTTTCCAGTCTGTCAACTGACTGACGGTGCAACGCCTCATAAGTCCCTGTGTACTCTGTCACAATGCTTAGCTAAATTTTGGGCGGAGAAATCGACGATCGAATCACTGCGAGCAGATTGACTGCACATTTTTAGCACGGCAGCATATCGAATCCCTTTGGAGCATAACAAACTGACTATAACCGGCCTGAGTTGGACAGCACTGTGGTGGCATACCACACTCCTTACTCGGCCTCATAACCTGGCGCCTGATGGTTGACTCCGGTCTGCGTGCAACCCCAACTACAATTGGTTGGAAGATCACGTCAGCAATCGGATAGGCCCAGTCAGCACCTGCCACCCATATATATATTACAGGTCACCACATTTGCATGCCCGTGTCTACAACCAAAACAGGGGGTCAGACAAAATCAGACATTGGTTCGAGCGTTCGCATAGATAATGCAGTATCCGCTTCTGTTTTTCTCTCTACTTGCAACTCTGCAAGCAACCGGGGTGATGGGCTTCGGTGGTGGATACGTACAGGAGTCAATAGGCGGACTCGTTATTGACCCGCAAGATCGAGTCGAGCGCGAACTCATCAACGCCGAGGTGCGTGCCAACATAAACAACTATGGTGACACAGGTCTTCTCATTACCTACTTCAATTCAGATGACGGCCGGATGGTCCTGAACATCTCCTGCAATAAGTCCAAAATGGTCTTCCAACACACGAACACTCCACAACATGTGACGTGCAATTTGACATACGAACTTACTGTGCCTATTGCTCTCTCCTTCGAAATTGACTATCCTCCAGTGGCCCAATTAGCTCCTGCATTTTGGCTGTATCTACAGCCTACCTCGCTTGGCCAAGTGACCGTCCCTCTGAACCTGACAATATTGGGAGTGCGCATGGGTGTAGCCTATCTGAGAATTTGGGCTCGTGAAGCCATAGAACAGAATGGATCCGGTCTGTATGTGTGGCACAATTGGAATCGGTCTGACCCTCTGCTCGTGAAGACCTACTTATCGACGCTGATGAACAGGAGTGAGTTCGGTAGTAGTGGCTCCGTCATGGGCCTCCCGGTTAGAATTTTACGAAAGCGTGGCGTAGTGGAAGTGGTCTTTAGGGGAGTAGTTACGTTTCTGGTCATTGGAATTACCTTTGCAATGGGGTGCGCGCTGGATTCACGTCTGATATGGAACCATTTGAAGAAGCCTGTGGGGCCGCTCATTGGTTTTTGCTGTCAATTCGGAATCATGCCACTGGTAAGTTTGAACGGATCAATTGCTCTTTCATTCTGATAACCGACCCCGACAGTCAATTTAAATTCCTCAGAACTGCATTGGCCATTAAAGACAGATACCCCGCTTTCAGAAAAGCCGTTTCAGGTATTCAGCAGGAAAGAGATCGATTGAGTCGGTGGGAAGAAAACTATAGGTCGCGGTCATGATATGGGCTTTCTGTAATACGGTCAAATTTCGCCGAGGCTGCTAATGTTTTCACGAAAATGGGCGGTTATATTGGTCCCCTTTTTCGGAATACCTGTTTAGAATATTTGCTTAATCTCCACAAATAGGTAACCAAATTTATAAATATTGCAAGATGAGAGTTTTAAAGGCCACGCTCGAATTGCATTTGTCGCTTAAAAATTTCCAAAATTGCATATACCAGAAAGCCCGTAGAAAGGGCTGAGGATCCGTTAAGGAGATGGATCAATGTTTGCGGCTCGGGCAATTACAGTCAGTAAAATTAGACTATTAATAGTGCTTCTTGTTAATGTAGATAGAAGTTTTTCTGCTATTCCACAACGGCAGATTAGACTTTATCTAAGTGCTCATTTCAGTTATGCGGCTGCCAGTAAAAATTATGTCTCGGACATTTAATTTCAAGTGCTTTTTTTAAGATATTGCGAAATATTTAGTTCATGATATACTCACGAAATGTTACGAAATTAATAAAAAATTGTGCAATGTACAGCTCACTCACGCTGCACCCACAGATTTTTTAGCATTAAGGAATCGATTATTTTTCTGGGGAGTGCTGTGTTAAGGGCATAGCCTGTAATATAACAAAAACAGCACTCGCTCTCCGAAACTAAATACTTAGGCCGTACTGTATTCTTCGAAAGCGGCTAGCCCCAAAAACCACTTTAACGCCATTTTTGAATGACAGACATTCCCTATCCGGCATCTGTGCTGTATGCATTTGCTTTTTGTGTTTCTGGTTCCAGGCATTCGTTAGCGCTACCTCTAGCCGTATGCGGGTAGAATAAGACCCAAACGGGGTTGTAACGAGCCATGCGTACTTTTGTTGGCACCTAATTGCTATTGTATCTTAACTCAGTTTGGCATGGTATGTGCTTGCCTCGTAGTGATCTCTGCCACAAGTATGGCGTATTTTAGTTTCAAAAAGCTAATGGACCCATTTTGACTTATTTTAGCGTATATAGAAGTAGACGCGATGACTCAAAAAATGTCAATCGGGATTTTGAAATGATTTTTTGATTCGAAGAACTACTTAAGTAGGGTTGTAATACTAATTACCGTGAGGGATAATCCCAAGATAATTCAGGTACTTCAGGATGCCGACTTTTAAACGAACTTCCCTCCGGCCGCCTGCAAAAACATCGGTCTATAAGACAGGGCCGCTTATATAGGAGGAATTTTTTTCCCTGATTCTCCACACCTTTTTAACTCGAAGATATTTCACAGAAAACATGCGAAAAAATAGCCACTATTTTACTCATTTGGTAGAAAATTGCGTCCTCCCTAAATCCTACATCTCATATAAGCGTAAAATTTAGTTTAAGAGCCTTCCCAACTTCCCGATAATTTTCGACCCGACCTGCCGTTGCACTGATATCCGGGGATTTAAAACTACAAGTTGTACGATATAAGATCAAAAGCGTATGGAGTGATCAGGGGGAGTGAACGATGGCGAGGAACTCCCTGTTTCAGGAACATAACGACCGCCAATGAAACCCCATTCTAACATTCGTGCCAGACATTCAGCATTCAGCGATATGCTTGTACGAGGCTGCACATCCGAGCTTCAAACGCCGAATTACTTGAACGTCAGGCAATGCTCTCATCACTATGTTGCCAGACCCGCATCTGTACGGGCGTGTGCAGCCCGGACTTGCGTGATGGCAGCAAGTGTGCCAGAAATAGCTACTCCCTTGCCTCTTTATTTTTCATTAAAATCTCCGCAATTTCGTAATGCTGGTTGCTGCGCGCGGCGACCTCTGTAAGCAGCAGCCTCGCAATGTCACCGTAGATCCGAAGAGTTCATTTTTTACCGCAATCAAGGGTGCGAGTCCCTTCCATGTGCCGTACCTTATTATGCCGCTGTTGGTGAGCTTCTGTCATGCCTGGGAGAAAGGAGACTTTTATAAATTATGCAAACGACTTTTGCTGTGGATTGCCTTATTAGTTTGCTTGAAGCAATGTTTCCCTGGAATAAATTTGAATAAGGCAAAGGCGACAAAGCATGCAGTTGGACCACGTGATAAACCTGGCACTACCATGGTAAGGAACGATTAGGAACGAAACCCTGTTCTCATATACGCCCCCTCATTTCACTCCCACCCCTCCCCTCCCACTCCCCGGCATGACTGAATGCTGCCCGCACGTTGCACTCTGAATCACGCCGGACAAGTTCTCACTGTGGTCCTAACTCTCAAACTTGGATGACTTCTCTCTCACTCCCCTCTCCCTCGCCATATGCACCCGCATACCAGACCCATATTTCAGGTTACCCGTCACGTTTTATCTCTCTAAGTCGATCGTTGCTTGAACAGTTTGCCTTATTATGCAACTATGCAATGTCCGTACGCAGCTGAATGAGAGGTCTTGGAATTAATGACATCTGTAAATACTGCATGATTTGTCGCCTTCGTCTTATTAGTTTGCCTTGACGATAGTTCCCCCTAGGCGTAAGCAGGGGGTTCGGGTCGATGACAGTTTTGGAACATGTGATTTCAACTGCTTCCCCTAAGTATTCCTGAAATTATTAGTTCAGAATAAACTAAGGAAGTGCTACGAAACTCGTAAAAATATGTGCAATGCACATCTCATCCGCCTCGCATCCACGGATTTTACAGCATTGAAGAATCAATTATTTTTCTGGGGAATGCAGAGTTAAGGGGTTGGCTTGAAATATAACATAACAGCCCTCATTCTGAAATTCAGTCTTCAGGTTGTCCTCTATTCTTTGATTGCGGCATACCCCAACACCACTTCAATGCCATTGATAAATGGTGTCATGAGGCCTGCGAGATCTGTGCTGGGAGAAATACCCTTCAATTTGCGGCCACGTGTTGATTCAAACTATTGTAAACTGTGTGCTTCCTGCTTAATCCTTCATCTTCTAACTACTGCACTGTGCTACTATAACCATAGAAAATTATGACAACATATTTTATCATATCAGTGGGCGTAAACCTCACTGTTTAGCCTAGGGAAGCTACCACGTAGCGTGTGTATCTTGGGGTATTTGTGAATCTCGTCATATTCTTTTCCACAGGTCTCATTTGGGATTGGGATGGTCATGCCAATCAAACCGGAATTAGGCTTCGGTCTCCTCACTACCGGCTGCTCTCCAGGTGGCGGCGGTTCCAACGTCTGGACCCTCCTACTACGTGGCGATCTTAACCTCAGTATGACGATGACATTCATCAACAGCATTGCTGCTCTAGGTAAGTCGTTTTTTCGCTTGACCCATTTCGCCTGCATTGAGTTCTCTTCAGGAGGAGCGTAGGAGAACAGCATTTGCACAGCGTGAAGTGTTTTGCTAACGCAAAATATCAGAAGGCATAGGCATTTAGGCTGATTTAAATTTGACCTGTCTTTACTGCCAACGATCGAATCTGGTTAGAGGTCATTGCCAATAGAAGCGAAGAGACGAGTCCCAGGAAGTAGTCTTGAAGACGAAACCACGATCGCTGAGACAAGAGCTTTATTGGCCTATCAAACAATTAGCACACCAAGTGCGACGATCCCGGATGAAGGGGGGAGCCGTGAATGTTTAAAGGTATGCGGTAGTATGACGAATGGAGCTTATAAATACTGCAGTCCCTTGTGCATGAACCAACCGCATCTGCTGTTGTATCTGATGACGGGTTCGAGCACAAATCCGAAACGCCAGGCTAATAAAGCTCTTGTCCCAGCAATCGGGTCTCCTTCTTCAATGTTAGAGGTCGTGCTGTCAGTATGCACTTGAACCACTACTGTTTGCTTAATAAGCATCCGCCTGTGAGTTACAAACGCTTAAATCAGTTCGAAAAATCCCTCCTGATCAGAAAGTGTAATTATCGACCAACTAAGGGCAGTTGGATCTTATGAGTCTCAGTGTCGCACAAACCTTGTTTCGTCCCCAAATCCAATGAAACTTCGTGGTATAAAGGATATCATGCTTAAACACAGATGGAAGTTGTAAGCATAATTCGTGGTGTGAATTCCTAGTCTTCTTGTAGGTAAAGTAATGTCCTGCCAGATACCACTTGTCCGGGATACAGTGACTTGTAAACTAGGACAGATCTCCAAATCAAAATCATCATATAGCTTAGTCAGACTGTGAGCCCGCTTTATTATTACATATAACATGTCGAACACAACTCTGAAGAGCCTACCGAGTTGATGGACCAAACGCTGATGGTTTTTTACAATTCTGCTGCCTTGTTTGCTTCTATTCTTTAGGCTTATGATCTAGCACTGATTTTAGATGCACCTAAAAATCCAATAATATTTTATGGAAAGCATGCGGAAAAATGTTCACTATTTTGCTTATTTGGTGAGAAATTAAGTCTTTTTCTCATTTTATACTTGAAGGAGGGACAAAATTCGGTTTACAATGTTTTCAATTGTGGGACATTTAAATAGCATGAAATGGCCGCGTATAAATCGTCATGTCTTTGCATTTAAGAATTTGGCTCGTAAAGTTAACAATATGAATTAAATCCACTGCTAAATTTTATGAAACGTATATGGTCCTCTTTATTACCGTGGAGAAATTTGCGATTTGCTGTACGCGGAAAATATACGGCTTGCAGTTTGGAAACCCTAAATCTAAGTGCAACGGTAAAGCGGGTTCAAGACTATTCAGGAATTGGAAAAATGTTTGAAAACATAATAATACTCTTATTTTGAGTATAAGATTGCAAAAATATGTAATCTTTTACCGAATGAACAAAATAATGAATATTCCATGCACATTTTCTAAGAAATATAATTGCTTTTTCAAGGACATCAAAAATCAATGAGAAAATTGCATACTACTTAAGTGGTTATTTTTGCGGAGCGAATTTCTTTCATGCATCTGGCAGGGAGTTCATTCAAAAGCTGACATCCTGAGGTAGCTGAAGTATTATGGAAGTATGTTGCAGGTTGACTAGTTTTACCTAATCTTTGAGAAACGAAAACACATTTCATGACTTAGCCCACCTACTGTTCTTCAGGCACCGCCATCGAGGCCATCCTACTTTGTTTCTGATGCAGATTGTGATGTTGGAGTAATAATGTTTGATTAAACTAGCGTCTGGTAATCAGGTCTCCAGAGGGCGATCTTTAGGTTTTCGAAATGTCACCTTCAACCAACATCTAACTCCCTAAGAATGTAAGCTCAGAATGATGCGCATTCAATGCCTTAATTAATAATGGCAGGTATGGAAGTCGCGGTAGGCAACGGGTGCGGTTCACACGGTGGAAGTCAGTATACCAGAAATCCTGACCGCCTACTTGGATAAAATACCAGTTTCGTCGGCTGGATTTTCATTCGCGGAAGTTTTCTTCTGGATGATCCCTCAGTTTGTGGATTTAAGGCTTCTCAGTCTATGAGACCATACACAGCACTCGCAATCTGGACATTTGCGGAGGTAAGCAGTTACAGAAGATTCCTGGTGGAGACCGCCAGTACTGTGTAGCAGTCTATAAAACTGCCGAGAACGAAGCAGACAGGATAAGTGTATTTCAGTCTTGAGAAAACGGACCATACAAACACAACCCATGAGCTATGTTTCCGGACTCCTGGAAATTCAGTAGCAGTGCCATAGCACCTCAAGTTCATGAATACTGCGTAGTTCACTGCGAGCTGCAATATTCCTCTGCTTTTATTCAAATATCGATAGAAGACCGCCGAATGTAGAACATTAATAACGCAAAGAAATTGAGAAATTAGCCTCGCATAATAAGCCATCTGTCATTCTGAACTTCATATGCGCAGCCGGGGCATCTTTTATTTCCTCAGAGACATCCGGACGCAAGTTGCTCCTTTCAGGCAGATGCTCGCAGAGAGCGAAGTCCTCCGCAATGTCAAATAACTTCAATCCTGCCATAAGTAATATTTGACTTTGCGGACCACTTGAAACTCAGTAATGTTAGTTGAATGATCTTGGCGTATTCACTGAGACTACTACCTCTTAATCTGTCCCCTTTAAGGAACCCACCGACGTAGAGTGCGTGAATTATCTCATTAAATGTTGGCTGAAATTCTGAAATGCGTTTTCGATTAGGAAGGATTACTTGGTCGCGGTGGTGACAATGATTGTCTTAAGGCATACTCTTATAACATTTTTGACTTGGCAGGATGTCGGCTTTTCAATGCACTTCCTTTCTATCTCCTGTAGAAAGCGTGCTCGGTAAAAAATGGCTACTTCAGTAGCATGCATTTTTACCATTGATTATCGATGGTCTTGGAAATTTAAATATATTTTATAGAAACCACAAACAAAGATATGCTTTCTTTTAGTCAATCAATAAAGAAACATGTCTTCTTTATATTTTATACTTAAGAGAGGAGAATAATTAGGTTTTAAAAAAGTTTCTAATTATGAGACTTTTAACGACTGCGACATGTCCATTCACATAGCATCGTACCTGGCCTTTTACCACTGCTCTTCATGAATTGTACAACATGGTCCGCATCAATTGCAAAATTTTATGGACCCTGTATAATATCTCTTTAATAACATAGAACAATATGGGTTTTTCTTTACGCGGAACGCATGCAACTTGTAGAGTGTAATCACTTAGCGCTAATGGAACGGATGATCAGGCTGCAAATTATTCGGCGATCGAAAAACTTTTTTAAAACCTTATTATTCTCCTCCTTTAAGTATAAAATATAAAGAAGACGTGATTCTTTATTGACTGACTAAAAGAAAGCATATTTTTGTTTGTGGTTTCTATAAAATATATTTAAATTTCCAAGACCATCAAAAATCAATGAGAAAAAAGCATGCTACTGAAGTAGCCATTTTTTACCGAGCACGCTTTCTACAGGAGATAGAAAAGAAGTTCATTTAAAAGCCGACATCCTGCCAAGTCAAAAATGTTATAAGGGTATGCCACAAGGTAATGAGTATTACAACCGTGACCAAGTAATCCTTCCTAATCGAAAACGCATTTCAGAATTTCAGCCAACATTGCATGAGATAGGTCACGCACTGTAGTGATTTTGATAACGCTCATATCCAGAGAAGCTTTGAGCTGGTGGATGCAAGCCCTTATCGGTCAGAAATATTTCTAACTTTCCCACTCCTCTCTCTCTCTATTCTCATGATTTGCTGCTCTAACCAGTCAACTTTTCCTCACAAAGGCATGACACCGCTGATGCTGTTTATTTTCGGCCGCTTCTTCCTTGACGTGCAGCAGATACGGATTCCCTACAGGCAGATTGCCTGTGAGTTGCTCTATGTTGTTGTGCCCGTCGCTGTTGGCATGCTGGTGAAGCACTACCTTCCCAAGGTGAGCACCCAAATCCGGCGATTTCTGCGGCCAATGGCGCTTCTTTTCCTAGCGGTGGTGTTCGGTTTCGGTGCGTACGTGAACCTGCCCATCTACGCCCTGAGTGGTCAGTATCCCCTGCTTCTGCCCACAGCGGCTGCCCTACCCTGGACTGCCTTTCTGACTGCCGGCCTTTTCGCCTACCTGCTGCAGAGAGCTCGCGCCGAAATCCTCACTATCGCCATTGAGACGGCCATTCAGAATATCGGCATAGCCATCCTCGTGTTGATCTACTCGATGCCTCAACCGGAGGGAGACATTGGTGCTGTGATGCCTCTGATCGTGTCCCTCTTTATGCCTCTGCCCCTGCTGATTGCGCTGAGTGTTCTCTGTATTCGAGAGAGACGATGTGCCTGTTGCTGTAGGCGGCCGCAGCGCTCCCCACTGTCTCAGAAGGGCGAAAAAGCTGACTGGATTGATGGGGGTCAGGGCGAGGAAGGCGATGAAAGTGAAGAAATGATATCTGTGCGAACGTAGAGTTCGGAGTCCATTTTAGCAGTTGTTACTGCTTTTGCAAATTTTCAGTCGCGACTTGGCTGTTGGCGGCCAAAAAAAACATCCATTTTCAAGATTATTTTGGACTTATAGCCCAAACTGAACCCACTCCCTGTGTCTGCACTAGCATCATTCCGGTACAGTTTTTCTTTGTTTTAGATTGCAGTAATTAATCTTCATGGGACAGTGGAATACCTACCAATAAACTTCATGTAATAGTAAACGTCAGGAACTGCGGTGAAGTCACTCTGTTCGCTAGAACTCGATTTACTGAAAGCTGTTTGGGCTACAAAACATGTACTTATTAACAAAATATCTCTTATCAATCAAAATCCTGCGCAAATGCACTAAGAAAATCAGTGAAAATTAACCGCGGTTAATGGCGAATATAAAACAAACATTAAAGCAACTATACCTGTGATACAAAATGGCAAATTTGCTTAAAAAGTCCGAGAGGCCAAATCGCTATATTTCTCGTCAGGTGACGATATTAAGTTTTTGAAGGAGATCAAGTTCTCTTATACATTACCTGAGTGGATAAAACAGATTCAGAAAAAACAACTTGTAAAACCTACTGCGCAAGATAATTTCATGTCTTGTTTCCATCTCAGAATCTTGAGATGCGATTAACCGCGGTAAATAGTATTTCGCTTGGTTTCGCGGACGCAAAGCATCGAAGGAATAAATGTTTCCTTTAGGTCATGAGTCACTAGCTGGGCTTTGGAAAATCGAAAACAAATTATTTCATGGTTATTTTAAACTTTTTTGTGGGAGGCTGACATTTATAAAATTGAACAAAAAATACCTTATCCTTTGACAATGGACCCAAATACAGCGAAAAGTTCTTCAAAATAATAGTAAATGATCCGCAGATATAAAGAAAACGTGACGTGGCTGTGAAAAGGAATGGCCTTTAGTTATAAATAACATTTCCTAAGAAAATCGAAAATATCATAAACACAATAACTCGCGCCAAAAAAGGAAAACCATATTTGTAAAGGATATAAAGCTTCTTCATGCAGTGTCTTAGCAAATAAGTTGGTCAGATGCAGAGAAGCGTCTGGAAAGTTCTTTTTATGCGGTTTTAACTTAAATAACCTAAAGAGTCAATTTAATATTAAGTGAAACATTTGATCAGACTCCTACTCCGTGATTCGAAGTTACAAGATGTTCTGCGATAAATCGATGCGGTGTTTATAACCCGAACTTATCAAGATGTGGCTTACTAAGGCAAAGAGTTTTCGTTTGAGTTCGCGGATATGAACGTCAACGAGATGAAAGATTTCATATATCTACAAGTTCAGAAGGAATAAAGAATTAAAAGCAAAACTGACAGATAGAACTGTAAGTACATAGTTTTCTCTGCAGCAAGATTGATATCCTTCTGAAGAAGTGCTGTGTGACTTTGGCCGCGGTGAAGTCCGTGTACCAAATAGAATAACCAAATTCCCGCCATCGAACGGTCTTGTTGTTATGGTTTAAAAGTATGTATAATAGAGATATGGTGACTTTGATTTAAACACGCTACATAGGGTTTAATAAGTCATAGATTACCCTATATACTGGGTGGGTTCGCTTATTCGCAGCCATGTAATAAAAGAGGTCGCTCCTATTATGATAGAAATGATACAGTTAAGCCGTTCATGTGGCTGTCGCACATATGCCTATGACTGAGTTAGCTGCGGTCATTTGTCCTGATGCTGACTACTGAATAGCCATATTTTCAATTTCCTGAAAAACCGCAAACGTCACTTATGTCCACTTCTACGGAGCTTAGTCAAATTATGATGACAATGTGCGACAACAGACCCCTTCTTAACTACCCTGCTGTAAAAAATTACGTATTCGCCAACTAGCATATTTAAACTAGAGATGCATTTGATGTCTTCTTTCAGGTATCCGAAGATTTGCACGACCTGTTCTTCAATTTCTCATTGGAATCAAGCTATTACTCTTTTAGGAGATTAAGTTAATAATGCCCGCTTTGATCAGAAGAAGAAGAAGAAGAAGAAGAAGCGATTGCTGGAGCAAGGACTTTATTTACAAGACGTTTCGGATTCTCACTTGAACCCATCATTAGAGACAGTGGTATAAACGGGTCACTGAAACGGGTCTGCCACTGTCTCTGATGATGGAATCAAGTGAGAATCCAAAACGTCAGGCGAACAAAACCCTTGTTCTGGCGATGGCTTATTCTTCTGATCAACTTGTTTTTGGAAATCGCATATTCGCTTGCATCGGCAATGCCTACGTTTTTTGATTCTTCCAATATACGTATGTACAACATTGGCTGATCTCACGAAATTCTAAAATGCGTTTTCACTAAAAGGGATTGTGAGAATCAGTTTGCAATAGAAGTATCTCGCGGTATAATTCCGTAATATTTCGAATACGTCAGAAAGTTGGCTTTTGAAAGCGTTGTTTTTAAACTACCAGCCAAAATGAATCCTCATTAGCGTTAATTGTCTCCGTCAATTTTGATGTCCTTATTAAATTAAAATAATATGAAAGGTGTTTAAAAATGATTCTTTCTGGTGTTCATGTTGTAGAAAATTACATTTTATGCTTAAGGCTCGAAGAAAAGGTATTTTTTGGTTTTAGAAAAGTTTATAATTATGGGGCTTTTAGGACCATACAACATCCATTAAGATAGCAATGTATCCGTCTGTCTAATGACTGCCCCCAATAAGCATACAACATTTGTTGAATAAAGGCATGTGTATTTTTTCTCACACGGGAATATAGAGCCTCTTGGCTAAGAACAATAATCAAAAATGCAACGACAGATCGAGTTCCCAATTAGTCAAAAATTTTGGCATTTCAAAAATCGAAAGAGATAACTTGTCACAAAATAAGTTCAGTATTTATATTTAAAAAACGTCAATATCGATACTGAAAATGCATGCTATATAAGTATTCATGTTTCACCGGGTGCGATTCTTATATGTAACTTGACGTGTCTGACGTGTATCACGAAATTAATTCACAACTCGATCAATCTTACGACATTTCCTTAGTAATCATGCCTGATCGAAAAACCATAAAAGAATTTTGATTGATATTTTAAGACTGCACATACATATATTTGTCGTTATATGCTCTCAAAGTACAGTATAAAACGTTCGGATTCGATGATAAATAAATAACCGCCTCACTTAGAGAGATGATAACACAGGAGCAACGTTGTTTGTTCTTGAGATTGTACAGACTCACCTTATTTTCTGAGATTTTTAAAAGTGGCTGAACATTCGGAATGGTACGAGAAAGAAATGGCCTCTTTTCGAGTTTCTATAAAGAAACATTCTTCTAGGCGAACGAGGAGATAAAAGGAGAATTTGCTAAATAAAGGGCCTCGCAGAGTCCAGCGTATGCACTAAAGCAGACCAGTCAGCGTACAGTAACGAGCCTGTCTCACAAAAAATTGATTACAATTTTAAATGGGTTTTCGATTAGAAAAAACCACTTTGATAAGGGTTATGATTTGCAATTTTCATCAGTCGGCATTTGAATGAGCTTTTGATCAGCCGTCTAAAAAACCACGCAGCTTCAAAGATAATTACTTGGGTAGCGTGATTCTTTTCGATTAACTTTCGAAGTCATCATATATTTGTCTATATTTTATTGCGAATATGCGCAGAATGCCCCGAATGACATCGATTTGACAGAAAATCTCCTCTTTATTTGGATTTTATACTTGAAAAAACATGCAGCTAGGATATAAAAGTGCTTGCGATTATGCCGCTTTTCAAGATCGTGAAATGCCTGCTTACAAAACATTCTGACACTTTGCAAAACGCACGCGAAAATATTTTTCTTTGTACTCTCTGCGTGTAAACAACGTCTCTTTTAATTTTTATTTGAAAAAAAGGCTACATCCTAGTCCAAAATGTTTGAAATCATTAAAACCGTGCAATCTTCTGAGGAGTCTTTTTAGACAGCTATGCATCTGACTCTTTGTCAGTTCTGTCTATGAGACTTGCAACAAATTCTAAACTCATTGCAAAATGCTCTAAGTGCTATATGGCATCTGCATAATAATGTATAGGAATGAGTTATTTCTTTATATAGAGAGTATTTATCATACGGTTTTAAATTCAAAAATGCAGATGCAAATGAAAATCAGACGCCAAATGATTCGCGATTGAGAAATGGTCTTCAACATCTGAAAGACACCTGAAAGGCATCTAGCATTGCTCTCAAGTTAATTCACAAAATTCAATTAAATCTTAATGTATAGTAAAAGAAATGAAATTTCTTCACTGCTCATTTTATCACAGTACAAAATACGTGTGAAACCTGTTGTTTTGCTTTAATTCGCAGATTGCGTTGGCTTGCTGTTTATTTCCCGCACAGACATAGAAATTGAGCACAGTTGAAAAAACAGTACTTCGTTTGTTATAGTATGCATCAACCACTAAAAAGCCTAGAGACCAGGTAACAACTTAAAAGCCTTTGCCTAGCAATCACAGCTCACAATCTTACACCTCCAAAAACTCATAAAACAACCAGGAGCACAGGAAAAGAACGCAGTGTATATCGTTAAATATGAAAGATTGCAAAATCGATCGCTTTTCTACTGACGACTCATGAACAATAATGGTGCAGTAGTTGAACAGAGGAATAAGGACCTCCTCTGGAAGACAGGTGAACATACTCTATATCACGAGGGTTAGATATTACAGTGCTCCAAGTTTTAAAGGAATCCTCGTGTTACGAGAAAATGAAACCAAATCCCAACCGCGAGCCCGGAATTCACAAGACAGCCTATACTACTTGGGTATTCATTTCCGTGCCACATCGAGACAGAGCGAACGCCGACTTTCGAACCTGGTCCTCCTTTATGGCCAAAAAGGATCTATCAGAATGTGCCAGGGGGACACTTTGCCAAAAGTGGCTCAGCTTTGAAAAAATTACCCTCCGATTTCGAATCTCATGCACCGTTGACTGAATTTGTAAAATATTTTCCCAGTTGTAGAGTGGGG